ACTCTCATTAGACGGTCTTTTCTCCCCCAACCATTTTATTCTTACTCCGTTAAAATCTCAAAGAAGCATTCCCTTCTCCTCTGCTTCTCCCTCATAAAGGCTTGATCAATGGGGACACTGTGCCCATTGAATTTACTAAAGCTCACGCCCATGATGCAACCCAGACTCACAGAGATGCTCCACACAACCACACAAGTGATGGCTCAGAATGGCTTCTCCACACAGCTGTAAGTGTCCCTGGATGGAGAGCATCCATCCGCTCACTGGAGATTTACTTGCTTGCATCAAACCACCACCACTTCTGGACATCTGAATCTCTTCTGTTGGTCCCATGAGAAGGGACACATTCCTTACAGGATGCCCTGGCTGACAATGAGTTTATGGGTTTAGTTTGGCTTATGTTCATAGTAAGAATCTCAAGGTGGCACAGAGGATGAACCATAGATGCTCTTCTTCCTAGCTAAAGCAGCAGCTGGATCCAGTGATCCATACTTGTTTCCAGTCTGAGACCTCCACGGTGCCTGAGGCATGAGAACTGGGGAGGAACAGATTCATGATGACAGGTACTAGGCTTTGAAAAGCATTCATATGACACCAGAGCCCTTGATAACTGCCCATGAAAGCACAAGAGCACTTCTGTCACCCCCTGTCCTTCAGGGAACCATGCACAGCTAAACCCATGACTGACACAGGCTTTGGCCATGTCAAATACCTGTGGACCAGGGCTGTGCTCCAGAAGATGCTCAGCAAGGACAACACCATCGTGCACATCACTGTTACCCCAAGCTTAGCAGTATGGAAAAAGCAAAGGTGCAAATGTAAAGGTGGCATTTGCTTCTTGAGCTTAATTGTAGCACTAACCAGAGCTAAAATTATCTCCTGAGCTTGCTGGAAAAGGATAACTGGTTCAACGAATGTGAGATCACATCCAGGGAGTGCTAATAGCTATTAATGTGAAAACAGAGACAACCTCTGAGCACAGTACAGCCAGCTCCTGTTTATCCAGACAGGAGAGCTGAGCTGTTAACCCTAGATGTACTCCTAAGACCACTCTCATTTTTCACTGACGACATTCACAGCCTGAATTACACTCATTCCTATCCCAGTGTCTGCTATATCCAGGTTATCTTTCCCCAGTTACTCATTCAACAGCATTTGGAGGGGCAAGCATTGGAGGTGAAGGGTTTTTTCCCCCTGGATCTGTGGCTCACACTTGGAATAAAACAAACACCCCCAGCTCACACAGCATAGTTTTTAGTTCTGGTTTCAGTTACAGCTCATTCACACGAGGGGCAAGGGTGCAATGGCATCCATGGGTGCTGACAGCCGCAATCTCTCTCAGCTGGATATAGTACAGTACAGCACAGCAAAGGAGACTTGGGTTCAGTTCAGCGAGGAGGTGATTAGGGAGGTGAACTCAGAGCAACGCAGCAGGCTACTTTGGGAGCCTTGCATCATGGTCACCATGATTACCCTGTTGTCTGTTGCCAAGATAAACCCTAAAGCGAAGCAGATGAAAGATCTATAACCATTATGGTACATTCAACTACAGCTCGAGTGGATACTCGCATTTCAAAGACATGACAAGTTGAGGCTGCTTTGCTTAGGCTGCACTACTCACCTGTAGGAAATCAAGGTAGTGTTTCCCCACCACTCATCATGACAAGTGTCCTTCAAAGGGATGACCCTCTGCTGCTTGTGAACGGTAAGCAGAACAATTATTACCCACAGCCACAAGAGGACAGACTTGATGCAAGGAAAAAGGGTGGTGCCAAGAGCTGCATTTGTGCAGAGAAGCAAAGTTTATAAACGATGGAGTAGGCATTTTGATATAGCATCTTTTACAGGGTTTTCACCACTAGAACTGATTTATTTCCTTTGGCTGCGATGGGTTTTCTGGTTAGCCCTTATATAGATCAACATTTCAATTTCCATACTTGCTCACAAGGAATTCAAAGTGTCCTCTCAAAACACCTTTTTTCTAACTGAGCTAACTCAAAAGGGTCTTTGTTAGTAGGAGCAACTTGTGTAAGGATATTGGGGGTGCTTTGATATTGAAAGCAGAAGAATTTCAGATGAGCATCCCTTATGAAAGTCCAGAGCAATGAAAATCTAAGCCATAGATGCACCTTTTAAATGAGGATGGGACTGAGAAGACCCTGAGCAAGTAGAACCATCTCTTTACTTTGCATTCTCTGCTTCACAGACCCATCTCTGCCCTTGCACAAAGGGCTACAGTACTACTGTCCCACAGCCAGGAGAAGGCTTCTGTGACACTGTCTCCAGCCGTACTGACCATGGGGACACCACAGGTCCCCAAAGGGCAAGGGATCCTGCATGGCTGCTCAGCCTATTTTAATAGCTAGAGAATTCCACCTCTTTCCCAGCTGAAGTCTCTGGCTACAGAAATGATGCCAGCTCAACATCTCAGCTTGATCTACAGACAGATCTTCATACTGAAAAGACAAGTGGAAAAGCATCTGAGCAAACAGCAGTCCTCAGGGATAACAAACAACGCAAAACCCAATGGGTTTCACCGTAACTAATTGCACCCCTTGGCAGGAAAGGCTGGGGAAAGCCTCTTGTCCCACATGTGCGCACATACCGTGCTTCTGCATCGCTAGTTTTGACTTTCAAATCCCTGCCTCCTGTGTCAGCCTCAGACTGCTGCTGCTGTTACTGATGCTGAAGGAATTCAATAGCCATTAACCACTAAACCTAGACTAGCAGGAGCCAACCGTTACCAACATCGCTATTTCCAAACAGACAAACAGCATCAGCAGGCTGACAGGTTTTATAGGGGCTGTTTCATGTGTTCTACAGCAGAGAACAAAGCATCTTGCCTGACAATTTGTCATGTGTGGGTTTCATTAAATAATGATCACAAAGCCATTTAGCATTCAGCACAAGCACATATCTGACTGCATGCTCAAACAACTTACCTGTAGATCAATCAGGACTTAAGTGGTAGAGGTAGGAAGAGGCATTGAGTGTCCCTTTCTTTACAGAGTTCAGAATATCACTTTTCCATCATAATTCCTTGACCTAAAGGGCTTTTTTCCCCATCCCCAAGGACTGTCTCTCATGGGGAACACATATAGGAACAAAGGGAATCATTGCTTGTCCCAGCAAACTTGCAATGTAAATACCCAATGCAAAGTACCAGTGGTTTACCCAAGAGCAGCCTGACTGAATCAGTGGCTGAACTGGAAAATAGAGTTTAGACCATCCAGTTCTCAGGAGATGCTTTCACTCAATCTCTGCAAACAGGTTTGATAGATAAAGCAAACATCTGTGGACCATCCAATATTGGCTTCTGCTCAGAGCTATGCATTGTGCAAAAAGAACTCAAGCAGAGGTCTCATTATGGGACTACTACAGAAATTAATATTCACCCAGAAATAACATTACCCTATATCACCCTGAAAACACATCAAACCCTAGCAAGCACACTGAAAGCAGTGCTTTACTCGTTTGATAACAGAGAATGTTTCCAGTCAAATTTGGCTCCATTATATCCATTCTGCACGGCTTTTGGACCCTCAACCCAGCAAGCATCACAAGGCTTTCACTGACAGTTCTCAAAATCCCACTCATCTAGCAAGGTGTCGGCTATAGTTGAGGAGCTGATTGTCAGATAACTGGGGTTTGTTATTTTATCTCCTTTTAGTTTTCAAGACTTTGATCATTATACCACAGCACTAACTTAGCAGTTGATACAGCTCATCTTCTAGTTGGGATGCTATCAGCAGTGGACCAGACTGAAGAAGAGAAAGCATGCTCTCAGTGCTACAAGGAGAATGGGTTGTATCCACTAGAGAGATACTCAAAGGTGTACAAAAGTAACTTCTGCAAAGGAATTACTACAATAAAATATCACTTCTTGACCAAGTGGTGTGCTTGTTAACTGCAGGAAAAGAGGCAAGTTTCAAAAGACAGCTTTGGCTTATGACCTTATAAAGTGTTGCATATACCACCATTGTTTCCTTCCAACTTTTTAAGTCTACACAGAATAAACCTTGAAAGGAATCAGTTCAGATTTCTCTCTGGAGAAGTCAGATACTTCACTTAAACAGCAGCCCAGCTGCAGCACTCCACCCTGAAGCAGAAGCACATCACTGTGTGGAGATGGAGTCCTTACATGGAGAATATCTGCTAGCAGTACAAAGAACCAATGCTTTGAGGTTGCTTGTAGGCAACTAGTCTCCAAAATAGCCACCTATAAGTTAGGAACAGTACTGGAAAAGGAGACAGCCTTCTAGAAACCTCAAAGTGAATACCCAAGAAAATCATTTAATGGTTTCTACTATTCAACCAGTTCAGCTTGTTCAGTCACGATAATGTGTTAGAGTTCAACCTCCAGAACTGATGCAAGAAACACTCTGAGATGCATTTACAGTGGTGCCCAGCAGGAATGAAAAGTACCTGAAGAGCTCTAATGCTTTCAGAAATCAAGCTGGGGAACCTATAGATGTTTTACTGGGCAGTCCCCTTCCCTTTGATCAACTCAAAGAACCTTGTCCTGTTTGATATCAGCTTTGTGCTAACAAGCCCAGCATCTGGAGACTCTGAGCTTTAGAAATTAAACATACATAGCACTGGTTTTTAAATTGAGTGTTACCTTACATCTGACACACTGAGCCTTGCTCTAAATGACTACCTACAACCTGTGCAGAATCACTGTCTCTAAGTTGTGTGGTCTTCACAAGCACGAACAAACAGTGTTTGGCAGTTTAAGGAACGCTCAAGAATGACACTGCTCTTCAGCACAGGCTGTACCACACAGAAGTGGTACACACACAGGCTGTACCACAGAAGCCACCGAGTCCCACACATGTCTAAATCCTCTGGATTACACCATGAGCAGAGACTGAAAACGAATGGGCCAGCACAGACGATGACTTGTCCCCCAACTTCTCATACTTACAGAGCTCTTTGCTAAGTGTTACCTAAATGACAAACGAGCCTTGTACCACAACTGCTACATCTTCTTTTTTACCACTACTCATAACAGAAGAAAGTGACCTAAAATATAGCAAAAAAATACTAGAAATGACCATATGACACACCGATCCCCTCTCTCTGACACAGAGTCAGCTCCCTATTACGGATCAAAGGCACAACATGATACAGCCCAAAAGTCTTTCTAGGAACACGTGTAAAAGCATTTTAAAATGCCTTTTTAATTGTTATTCTTTTAAAGACACACTTACTGGCAGCTTTTGATGTCAATACAAAAGCTTTGTTTCAATCTTCAGTACAAGCCAAGTTAATTTTAAAATGATTAACTCTAAATTACAGCAAATCTCAGCCATGAAATTGCCAGGGGAGGTTTATGCAGATTAGCTGAACAGAACTGAAACATCTAAGTATCATTTTGCATGGGCACATTTCGCTATCTTCCTGCTTCACTTCAATGTCAATGTGTACATTTGCAATGCATTGTTTGTATACGGCACTAGAAGTGGAATAACATCCCAAACTCCAGAGTGCTTCCACTTCAGGGGGTCTGTAGAAAGAAATTGCTTAAACAGTTATACACATACTGGAGTCTGAGATTAAAAGTAAAGCATCAAGTCAATTAAATGACTCTACAGCCCTGAAACTGAAAGCTACTCTAGTAGAGAAACCAGATGCCAAGAAGATACCTTCAAGAGCATCTTGGAGAGTAGTTCCATGAGGTGAGCGCTGGATGGGTCAGACACAGAATTATACCACTTGCAACCTGCTGCTCTTCCCACCTAGCATAAAAACCCCTCTACATTGTACGTCTGCCTTTCAACAAGAACTGTATCTACAAGCTTTATGTTTAAGCTGGATATATTGCAGGAGGCCACTTCAAACTGTGCTCTCTTTGAACCCTTACACACAACCTGTGCACGCACAAGATTTTGGTCACATCTGGTGCACTTTTTCCCCCAGCTCCACCAATAATCTTTCCCAAAGGTGATTTTCCACATTAGGACATAACTAATTAGAGGAGGAATGGTTAATTTTCTGGTTTATTTTTATTTCTGGAGAAGTCTTTTCACCCTGCGTTGGCCATCAAAGCAGCACAGTCCTTTCCCACTACGTTTTAGGCCTAGAAAAAGAGGTAACAAGATTTGCTTTATTTTTATGAACAGTGCTTCTTAGTGTGGGGTTTTTTCCTAACCAGTCTAAGTTACACATTCAGAGGACAGCAATGTAGTAAGACTACGTTTGGCCTATGGAATATTTGCTGAACTGCTAGCACCAAAGGGAGCAACTGAGCTGTATCCAGGTCTTCTTACATCTGGAAAATGTTGATATATGTAACTTGTCCTTTAGTTCCATGTTCATGAAAGTGCCTGTAGATGAGAGACATAACACTATTTCAAACACTGGAGTCCTCCACGGAGACGCATGGGCAGACGCTATGTACATGTCCTAAGAGCTCACTCACTGGCAGCCCCAAAGACTGCCAGCGTAGTCCAGGGTCAGTGTTCATTGTTGGTTTATTTCAATTCAAAAAGGACCAGACACATTGTTCTGATATGGAGATGTTCAACTGTTCAGTATCTTCTTCAGGAGAGGCTGCTCTAGTCTCCCACAGAAGGAAACACAGCAGCTCGTGTTCTGCATCGCATGAAGCACTTGTGCAACTCTTCTGCTCCTAACCTGCTCCAGAGACTGCGAGAAAGGTGAAACTTCAACCGTGATAGATTCTGCTATGTTGCCATCCAGCTGGAGCCATGCTTCCAGGTCTGCATCCTGACTCGGGAAGTGGCAGGAATAATTCGCTTCAAGTAGATAAATCCCAGCAAAGAAAAAAAAGGAAGGAAAATAAACAAACTCTCTTGGCCCATGGCAGAAGAGGAAATCCCATGCCAGCTCCTCAGTTAAAATTACAGCAAGTCAAGTAGCTGATGCTTTTCCCCTCTCCTGGTAAGGGGGATGAGACATTGTTCTCAAGGGTGTTCTGTCGTGCCTCGCTGATCAAGCGACAGGCCAAGTCCAGGAAGAGTTTTTCCACATTATCCGACTCTTTTGCTGAGGTTTCCAGGTAGTACATATCCTGTGCTTCGGAAAACTCGGCAGCTCTCTGCTGGGAGACTTCCCTCTTATCAGCTAAATCAATCTTATTACCTGCATTGATAGAAAAGGAATTCATTTGGCTTCCAAAAACAAGAGAAATGGAGGTTGGAAAGGGATAAAGGAGAGTTTGGTGTTGTACATATGCATGGACAGTGGTTTTGATGTGAAACTCTTAGTTTTTACCCTCTCTTCCAAATAATGGATTCCCTGATACAAGTGGTTAAGTTCATTTAATATCAGCTCATTTAGAGCAACATGTCCTGCGAACATCCAGGTCAGTTAGCTCTAATTTAGCACCAGTTGCTGCTATCAACCGAGATTAAAGGATTTCCATTATAATATCTATTGAAAATTCTCCTGTTCTTGCTCTGAGCAGCACTTAAAATGTCACTTATAGCATACGAGACACTAAATGTGATATTTCTCATGTCATTACAAGGTTTAAAAGAAGCCTGGCACAGAAGGCAGCTTTCCTATTGCAATATTCCAATGAAGGATTTGGCTGTTGAGGCTGGAAGAGGGCTGGGCCTGGGGAGCACTTGCAGAGAGAGGTGTGGTGAGGAACCAGCCCCTTAAGCTCAGTTCAGCAGAGAGTTGATTAAAGCCTCAAGCAAGCATCTGATATGATTATACCCTATTACTAGCCACTTCACTGCAAACATGATGGTTTTGCCATAAATTAATCTTATAATGAAGATAACAGACCAGGACCTATAGTAACAGGGGGATGTGTCCATGGACTCTGCAGTTTCAGGAGGAAACATCTCCTGGGTCCACTTCTATGAGCAATTTTGATACTTAGTGGGAGGAAAAGGCTACACCTTCATTAGCAAACCACATCTCATTGCCCTCCTCTCACCTGAGATGTCCTTTCTTTCCCGATAAAGCAGTTTCTTGGATGCACTGCATATACTGGTTTCCTTTCTAAACAGATTATCATTTAATACAAGTGGTTTATCGGTCTCACCATATGGGTACAGCAACCTGCAGGCATCACCAGATTGATGAGATCTGAGCTGGGAGTCACAAGGGAAACTGCTCTATTCTTGGCTCAGTTGGTAGCTGCACTTCAGTCCCATATAGGACTGAGTGGTGAAGTATCCACTTCTGCATGCAATAGCCTTCAACCTAAGACAGGGCCACACTTCAAGTAGTGGCTGTGATGTCCTGGACACCACCATCAGCATCTTGGGAGAGTGACTTTTACAAGGGCCTGTAGTGACAGGACAAAGGGGAATGGCTTTAAACTGACAGAGGGGAGACTGAGATGAGCTCTTATGCAGAAGTTCTTCCTGGCGAGGGTGCTGAGGCGCTGGCACAGGGTGCCCAGAGAAGCTGTGGCTGCCCCATCCCTGGCAGTGTTCAAGGCCAGGTTGGACAGGGCTTGGAGCAACCTGTTTTAGTGGAAGGCGTCCCTTGAAACTAGACAGTCTTTAAGGTCCCTTCCAACACAAACCATGCTGTGATTCTATGATCTGGAGAAGGCACGGTCCACGCACTGGCTTTAGGGCTGTACCCACCTACAGTTACAACTGGTTGGCAATGAGATCTTCCACACCAGTTCCAGCATCCAGCACCGTGAGTTCACACAGATGCCACGTTTTCCTCCTGCTCACGTGCCCATCTGCCACCAACCCCTCGACACACACATCTCAGCCCCCTCACCACACCAGCCCACGCGGGACCATCGCCACTTACCCACTAGCACGGTGATGACCTTGTTGCTGGCGTACTGCTCGATCTCCCGCAGCCACTCGGGCAGGCAGCGGAAGGATTCTTCGCAGGTAATGTCGTAGGTGAGGATCAAGGCGTTGGCGCTGCGATAGTAACTCTGTGTGATGGATCGGAACCGCTCCTGTCCCGCCGTGTCCCAGATCTGCAGCTTTGGGCAGAACAAGGAAAGGTGGGAAAAGGGAATAAAGAAGTTAACTTCTTCTATTCAACAGCAGCACTGCTTTGACCTGTTAAAACCCCTTCAGGGTAAAGCCAATGGTGGGAAAGCACTTTGCTTTTTTCCCTATTGGCTTCCTTTCTCCCCGCAGTGTTTTGTTTGTGTTCCTGCACTAGTGGATTGAAATGCAAGGCACAAAGTCAGCTGGCACTGCAGCCAACAGCCCCTGGAAGGCACAGGTCTGTGGGTTTTCATGTGGCTTCCAGTGTCTCCCTTTGCTGTGGACAGAGCTGCTGGCCTGGAGTTGTAACAGAGGCAATGGAGAAAGAGTCACTTCTCCTGCCCCTGAATTCCAACAGCAGCATCCAAAGACGTGGTAAACACTCCATCCCTGGCAGTGTTCAAGGCCAGGTTGGACAGAGCCTTGGGTGACATGGTTTAGTGTGAGGTGTCCCTGCCAATGTGAGATGTCCCCCCTAACTATTCTATGATCCATCCCAAGAAGAACCGATAAAGCTTCTCTTCTAGCCCCCAAAGCTAGCTAAAGTTATGCTGAGATGATGCATTGATGGAATCAAACAAGGAGCTCAGATGAAGGCTGATCCAAGGACTCCAACATGTTTCCTCTTTACAGCTTACCCATCCCACTTAGCTGCTCACTGCCTGCCTTCCCAACATGTAGAACTGGTTGACATGTCCTTAACTATATCACAGACTGGTTTGGGTTGGAAGGGACCTTAAAGCTCATCCAGTTCCAACCCCTGCCACAGGCAGGGACACCTTCCACTAGAGCAGCTTGCTCCAAGCCCCTGTGTCCAACCTGGCCTTGAACACTGCCAGGGATGGGGCAGCCACAGCTTCTCTGGGCACTCTGTGCCAGTGCCTCAGCACCAAAGAGGTCATGAGCATTTGCCAAACCCTCTGGGTCCAGGAAGACAACAAACATTTCCCAATACAAACTAAACTGATGCTGTTTTTATACTCTGACCATCCGCAAAACCTCAATTCTTCAAACAGGCGGTCAAAGAAGCAAACATCCAAAATGGAAATGTTCCAACATAAAAGAGCACTTCTCTCCTTCAGCTCTTATTTTTTTAAAGCACCCTCCTTGGAATTAACGATGTGAAAGGGTGATTTCCAGCCAGAATCCTGCATACTTTGAGAAGAAATAGGTGAAGTATTTGAGATTTGTTCCATATATTTAGCATTACAGAGAAAAACCTTATTCTTGCCCAGTTCCAAAGTCAAACTACCCCAGGTACCATCATAAAAGTGTTAGTTGAAATAAGAGCTTCAGATGTGGGTCTGAAAAAGTACTTTTTTTTTGAGAGAAAGTGATTTGTTCTGGTTCACAGCTCCTGGGCCCTTTGTGCTTAATCCCTTGGCATAGTTGTACTTAAACAGCTGAACCCGGTGCCTGTAGTTAAGGGACACACAAAACCATACGTGAAATTACTTGCACATGGAATTCAGATACTGAACGAGTCCCCATTAAAACAAATCGGCCTTCGAACTCCAGCAGATGGAAAAACACAGCTCATTTTGTTGTTGCTCGACTGTTTCCCAGGAAAAACATTTACTGATTGATCTGCTGGTTAACTCCAGCTTATGTGTGTTCCACACGCGTTGAGATGATCTCCAAGCTGACAAAAACTTGATGTGAATATGTTCTTCAATGTAACAGACATAGACATCAACAGGGATTGCACTTGGGAGACAGTTTCTCACTGGCTGCAGTAGTGAACCGGGTGCAATAAGATAGGGAAGAGCCACCAACCTTATAGCCAGTGACAAACTCTTCCTGCACACAAAATGCACATCTCCCACCTCACCCCACTGATTATTTCTCCCAAATGGCAGGGGGTTGGAACTGGATGATCTCAAGGTCTTTTCCAACCCAAACCATTCTGTGAATTATGGTTCCACGAATATAGTATTTCACAGCAACAATTTTACCTGCCTGTTTTTCCAGAGGATCCAAAGGACAGTGCCTGACTCAGCCCGCAGGAAACCTACATCTTTGTTTTCTTGAGGCCAGCTGATGCTTCCCCTCCCTCAGCATTTGCACACTTTTAGCTTCACGCACATGTACATCTCCACCACGCACAATAAGATCACAGGTCCGGATAGCACAGCCCTCCGCAGCACTGAGGATGCTAGCCTTGACCAGCACGAAAATTGGCTCAACTTTGTGTAGCCCCCTTACTACAGGTGGTGTACATGCTTTTGTGTTTATTAGAAAAGGGCAGGCAGACCAAAAGCCCCTCAACTGCACTGTGCTGTCTCAGCTCATCTGTCAGTGAGCTTCAGGAGCAGCTCACATCTGATACGGTTTGCACACAGCGTTCACACCAGCAAGTCCCTCTCCACTGACTTTCAAATGTAATTTTGAAAGCTAGAAAGTCATTTTTCCCTGGAAATCTAGCTTATTTTCACCTGGCCCGTGAGCAGCCCTGCTCTCTCACCCTGGATCCCGGTGGACGTGCAGGAGATGCTGCCCAGCACAGAAGCAGAGTCACAGCTCGGATACTGTTAAATGAGCTAACAATGAGAGCAGCGCCTTGTTTGACTGGGATGTCATTTTTATTGCTCTGACTCATTCCCACTTTTCCTGCTCATTAAATGTTTATTCTCACTGGCACTGATTACACAAAAAGTTTCAGCTACAAAAATCACTCCCTGAAAGAAATCCATTTGCTTTTCACACTCCAGAAGGCTCATTCAAATGCCCGACTGTATTGGAGTAAGCTTCCTCCCAAGCTTGGTCACTGTGGCTGAGCTCTGGCAACTCCAATTTATTCCATTGGTGGGGTCAGGCGAGGGACTCTTTATTTGCTATGTCAAATACAGCTGGTATACCAGCTACTGCTTGCTAAGGCTCTGTCAAACACAAGCCAGCCCCAAGGTGATCAAGAGAGTACATAGAATCATAGAATCATTTGGGTTGGAAGGGACCTTCCAAGGTCATCTAGTCCAACCCCCTGCAAAGAGCAGGGACATCCTGAACTAGACCAGTTGCTTGGGTGGATGCTTGTGCATTCAAACATGTGCAGGGCAGCAGGGGCTTACCACTGATGAGTTTTTATTTAGCTTGTAGACCTTCCCTACACCATCGTTAGCCCTTAGATAGCCCTTATTGGCACAACTGTTCCATATGATCTCTTCAGGAGTTTGCATCCTCAGTCCAAGACAGTCTTAAAACAGGATTATGTCATGGGAGTAACAAGTCAAACACAGACAAATCCTTAGGGTGAGCTCACTGGTCCGAAACCAGACCTCAGATATAAACAATGCTCTTTAGGCTCCGTCTGTACTTAACAGGGAACCAGTTGCTTGGAAAGGAGAGGTATCTGACGTGGATGGGATTCATCTTCCTCAGGATAGTTTTTCTCCCTCCGTTAACCAGGACAATCTAGACACAGCTGGTTTAAGTCAGGTATATAAGGAAAACCACTAATTCCACCTTCAGTGCAGTACTTAAGCCATTTACTACTTAGATCCTCTAAGCTGCCCCACTGGACCTGTGTTTGGCTGAAAGACCCATCTCTGCTGTCCGAGGAGCCTGGACAAGCAGCAGCAGTGTCCTGGTCAACCCTGCTACGCCAGGTGCCTGCTAATGAGCATCACAACCACTGAGCTAAGCTCTGACACCACAGGGGCTACACATGATCCTCACTGCTTTCCTGCCTGCTGCTGTCCCACTTGCACAGCAACATGCTGAATAGTAACTCAGTTCTTATCAGGGGAAGGTATTTACACCTCTTCTCCTTCACTTGCTTAGGCTGGAAGGGCTTCTGCTTAAGGACCAGCATTTGCCATAGGTTTGCACAGTTCCTCACACAGGAGGGTGGCATCCTGCTGATAGGATCATGGCTTTTTAAATCTGTCCTAAACTGAGGAATACACCACCTGATTTTCTTCTAAAAACCCTGTGTGCTGAAATACAGGTTAAAAACCACCCAGGGCTGAAAATCTGCACAAGTCCATTGTTCCCATCCCATCACTTACACTAGCTTAAAAATGGGTCTCATCATATCCAGCTACTGACTGGATGCGTATCACATATGATGCTGCCTGCATCATATCACACTGCTGCCACTCTCCCATTTGCTCACTGCTAGGTTTGATGAAGGCAGCAAGGGGGAAACTGCTGTGTTTCACCTCGATGCCCCTGGATTTAATGCAAGCATAGCAACCCCAGGAACAGCTCAGGGAGCCTGGACGCGCTGACATTAGAGGCTCAGGTAACCTTATTCCTCTCCCACCTCACAGACACCCACAATCTCTACTAATGAACAAAGTGGCACCAGCCAAATCTCTGGGTGCTGGAACCCAACCATGGATCCCATTAAAACGTAAGACTGGTCCCTGGTGCGTTTTGGCTCAAACAATGTAGCTCTCTGCCAAGTGATGCTCAGGCTCAGTTTGGGATTTAGCACAGGACAAGCAGTTTGGTTGCAACCACCCTATTTTGGAGGGTGAATGAGTTAATCCTATGGAGGTCATTGCTCTTCTCAACTCAGTTTGTTGACTAAAGCACAGGTATTGTGATCATCTCTGCCTCTCCCAAATCCATAACTAGGAAGCGGAAGACAAGCCTCTGTTGTGGAGAACTGCACAAGCCCACAAGCCTGCTCTTACCAGCAGCCACCTTGGGAGCTCCCAGAAGACCATCATCAAGCACATCCCAATGGGAATGCAATGGATCTCTGCTTACCAGAAATGCCGTGAGCAGAGGTTGCACTGAAGTGCTTCTTGCACTTCCTCAACTCCAGGCAGGCACAACCTTAGCATCCCCTAAGCAAGGACAGAGTTTTGCAAGACCTCCCCTCTCTTTTCTCCCTTAGAGTACGTGCACTGTTACAACCCCAATAGTAATTGTCGAGAGGGGCACAAAGATTGCTAGACTCAGCATTGCCTTTGCCATGTCAGACAGCCCTGTGCTTCCCCACGTGCTGCCTTCCAGTTGCAAGAGGACTGTGGCAAGAACCCTCAGCTATGGTGCTGCCACACAAATTTACACTTAAACTCATCAGGCTCCTACCTTTACTTTTTCACCGTTTATCTCCACAGTTTTGATCATGAAGTCAACCCCAATGGTGGCTCCTTGACCCGGTGGGAAAAGCCCCTGAAAGGAAACAAGAGTTTCATTGAGCAAACTCTAAGTGCCAATCCTCACCCTTGTCCACCCTCAGAACTATTCCTCCCTTGTCCCCTTCCCCAGACACTTATTGCCATCACATTTAGATGAATCACGTTTCCCCAGCACAAAGGTTACCACAATTCAACCCCACAGTGTTTTCCCTGCCTACATGTCCCTCATCATGTAGGAAGTTGTTGACTTCAGAGTTAGGAAAACAGGAGGAGAATTCATACAGAGAAAAGGAGAGGGGAAAAGCCTTTCTTTAGTGCACTTGGAAAAGGCAGGGGAAGAGTAGATGAGGTCCCTCCAAACTATTACTCAGTGCCTTGAAAGAGGTGTGAGAACACATGTGGAATGAGATACCTTTGTTCCAGCAGCCTCATACCTTCCCTCTCTCCTCCACCACACACCACAGCATGGAAAGGCATTTCTGGCAGCTCCCACTGCTAGGGTCACATTCCTGCACAGTGTTTTGGGAGCAAAGCATGGAGCCAACCACTACCAGTGCCACAGCAATGGCAAAGTTGGCGTGATGCTGGTGGAATTTGATTGCAGCACCATAAGAAAGGAGCGACAGCAAAACCTCCCCTGGAAAACCCCAGCCAGAGCTTTTTGATTTCTGGTATCCACATCTACAAAGTCATGTTGATTCTGGGGCATGTCCATCCCCTACAGCATCTGCACTGCCAAAGCACAAGCAGCAGAAGCAGCCTCAGATTTTTGTGGTTAACCCTTTGGAGTTGACCGGCTTTATTGCCACTGTCACATGCTGGTGGAGGGTTTTAAAGCCATGTTGATGTTAAACACTGGAATTAACAGTGAGGGGGGGAAAATGCTGACAATTCCTAGTGCAGAGTGCAACAAGACCCCCACAACTTATTTTTTACAGTCCATGATGCAAAATCTTCTGTTGCCCCAGATCACAGAAGCATGGTCCTTTCTCTCTCATTCTGCCACCAAAAAAGGTCTGGTGTTTAACAGAAGACACTGGACTGAGAGCCCAGGACCCAGCTTATTTCATTATCTACTAATGGCAAATAAGAGGGAGAGCTTTTTGAAGCAAGGGATGGGGAGAAACCACACAGGAGCACACAAGATGTGCTGGTCCAGAGCACCTCCAAATCAGGAGGAGTTATCCCGGCAGCTTTCAGGGTTTTTTTTTCCTCTTCAGAAGGGGATAAGCTTTCTCCAGCTACCAAGTACAGCAGTAGATGCCGATGTGCTGCTTGGCCCATGTTGCTATAGGTGATGCACGCACCAGGAATGCAGATAACAATGTGCTGGAGCCACGACGCCAGCAGAGCCCTCAGTGCACATTCAAAGCTCCATGCTCTTGTCCCCACCCAACATCCATGTCCCAGCCTTACCTGAGTGAAGCGACGGACTAAGCAGGTCTTCCCCACACCGGCGTTGCCAATTAAAACAATTTTGAAGAGGAAATCATAATCTTCCATACTCATTTACGCAGCTGCAAGAGGGACAGAGCACAACGCAATGTGAACCGAGGCAGCAGGGAAATGCCTTTTTATACCTGCTGGACTTTATCCCTCCAAATATTCAGAGCAAAGGTCCCCTGCCGTGTGTGTGGCTCCTCAGATAAGGAGAAGAGCCCTTCCTGCTCCAAGTCAGGGCATCCACGTAGTCCAACATCAGCTGCTACTAAACCTTGGCCACGTTTTGGCTTTCGCGCTGTCTCACCTGAATTGGAGATGCTGGTTCTGAGCCCTCCAAGCTCGAGCCACCATTTCCTACATCTCCCCAAATGTCTGTTTTGTTTCTCAGCTCCAAAGGACAGCATGGACTTTGCCATGCTGTCTGAGAGGATCATGTAATCTGTTGCTGTCAGGGCAATACCCAGAAACTCCCCATGTAGGCACTGGATACCCACAGAGCAGGGCTGGGGCACACAAGGGCAGAACAGATGGGGAAATTAAAATAGCTCTAAAATACAAGCAGCAACATTTGTCTTACAGACAGAAAGAGCTCACTTGCTAAAATCGTAGAGCAGAGTGGGGAAACAGTTGGCTGAAGTACATTAAGAGAGGTTTTAAAGAAGAAATAATAGTGGCTATAAGGAGTATTGCTACTCCTATGACAGCTCTCTTTAGTTTTGTGAATATAGCTTGCTTGGCTTAAAGCTCAAACAGGAAGTGGACACAAAGAAGCCTGAGGGTTACTTCGCACACACATCCCCCTCTCAAGCCCAACAGGAGAGGTGGCAGGATGCAGAGGCTGATGTTTCGGCAATGCCACAGGAGGTGGGCAGTGTTGCCTACACAGGGTAAGACCTCCAGGGCTTCCTTAGACCACTTGCAGTATGGGGAGGACTGAACAGATACATGTAGCTTGCTGCAGCTGAGCAAGGCGGGAAGGATGAGTACCCAAACCTCCATCTCCAGTGCACCCAGGGATGCTGCTGACACTGCAAACAGAGAAGGGGCCTGTAACCTTCGAGAAAAAAGCATCAACAGCCACAACAAATTCAGTTGGAGGTTTCAAGCAGACAGAAAAACCCATAGACAAGGGTGCAGAAGGGCAGTGTTTGGGAAGATGCAGGTATTATATGTGACATCAAAGACCTGTCTTCAGAACCGGACTGGGATAATGGCATAAAAGACATCAGTAAAAAGACAGGTTTACAAGCTGTCGGTGGATACCAAGTAAGGTGGTACCTAAGCATCACTATCTAATCCATCAGTACCTATAGATTAGGCACTGGATGAGAAGACAGAGACCTCTCCTACTGTCTCCAAAGGTCCTTCTTTGGGAGGGTTCATTGCCACATACTAGAAGGTCCCAGTTACAGACACAGGTCCCATCACATGGCTGTGATAGGCTTTTAGTCAAACGAGCTGTCTGGGTCAGCCTGGTAGACCTGGTGGAAGACTGATTCAGCTGCTTCACGTCTACGTGATCCTTGGCCTTTCCAGAAGCCTAAGACAAAAGGGTAACCACACCAAATCAGTGAGTGACTAATGACGTGCATCACATCAGCAGATGGTTTGCAAGGACACTGCTGAATCACTACAGGGACATGCTAGTGACACAGCACAGCACTTGCCCTGCAGCTTGTTTGCTGAGCTGGGGCTATGGTCCCCTGCAAAGTACCACCAAACAGCAGGAGCTGAAGCTGTCCTGAGGATGCTCTGACCTCACTTCCCTCCTATCTCTTAATATGAAGAGTAGGACCTTAAAGAGCAGCCTCCAAAAATGCCCTTTTTTCTTTTCTGGGGTTGTTATTTTGTGTCATCATTTCCTATCTCCATGACTGGCTTTCCCAGAGTGGGACCAGATAACAACAACATTATTAAGACTATGTTGACAGCACTTTCACAGAGAAGGTTAAATGTTAATATAAGGTTTCAAGCTTTCACACTAACCAATGTGCAGAAAAAAATGTGATCATCCACTGAAAGCTATTTCAAGACTAACAAGACTTACTCAGCACTGGATAATTATCCCTGGGATGCTTCAAATCCCAGAGCGCATTGCTTCCCCCCTTGGAGGGATTTCAGATCTATTACTTGTACCCCAAACAGCCAACGTTCAAATTTATCTTCTTGGGAAGCTTAAAAATAAACTTCCTCAGCAGATCTCTGAGCTCAGAAATGTTAAATGGCTCAGATATACCCTAGGGTTACATCTGATCCCCTTCATTAGACTCCAAGACTAATCATATGTGATAATGACCCCAAACGGGAACCAGAAGATGAGCCAAGACCATAAAACAAACAACATAATGATGAGATTAAATGCCAGAATCAAAGAGACACCAGAAGTGTGGGCACAGGAGGGGAGAAAGCAAAGGAAGCAGCAAGGAAAAGAGAAGTGAGAAGTGGAAGGAGCAGATGAGGTTGAGCATCGCTGCCCTATCACCCCTGTTCACCTAAGCTGGCGTTTCTCCCTTTGCTGTGCACGCACACTCTCACCTACCACGCTGTCAGTACTGGAATCACAACCATTGCATCAGTCACCATTACAACATCTACAGGCAGATGCCTTCCAGCCAAGTGACCTTTGCTGCTGACTCAGGCTCACATAACCCTCCCTCTCCCCAGGGAAGATGTGTCTCAACCTCTGCCCGGCTCACCGTGGCCAGGGAATGCGCATGTCAGCAATACATCCCACTTGGAATTCCATGCTTCAGAAAGAAAGAAATAACACACAGCGTCAGGTTTTGATTTGTTTTTCTTTCTTTTGGGTTGTTTGTGTTTTGGTTTGGTTTTTTTTCCCCTTTCTGTTCTATTGTGTTGGCAGGCACAGGGCTCTGCCATGCATCCCTGCAGTGGTTTAAAGTGTTAGTGCTGCAGCTGCCTATCCCACCCTTTGGCAGAGACAAGGCCCTGCAGCAAGGAATGGGATGGGATGCCTGTCCGTGCCTCAGCCACCCCTCACCACGTTTGGTTGACACAAACAGGGCTGGCTCCAGCACAGAGACATGCCCTGTGATGAGATGAAGCAGGAGCAGAGCATGAGGCCAGGAGCAGGGCAGAAACCCGGCTTTCACAGCTGTTTCTCCCAGTTTATACAGCTCACATCCCAACCAGTTTCCATGGCTCATGACCCTCCCTGAATTGTCCCCAGCAGCCTCAAGGGGATCAGTTCTGCAGGGGTTTATGTCCTTTGTGCCACTGCTCTGCTCCACTACATCATGCAGCCCCATGTATGGCCACTGTGGGCAGTAAAAAGGAGCCAGGAGAGGCAAATCAAAGTGGGGTAACCACTCAGAGAGGTGCATCCCATCAGCAGGGATGCAATTGAAGGATGGCAGGATATGTTTTAGGCTTAGCTGGTTTTCTTTGCTTGGGCAAGACAGTACAGTGAATGCTCTTAGTATTTTTCAATTATTAATTCCAATTCAACCCAAAGACTGGTGAGATCCCCCCAAAACAAAAGCACAGGGGCCAGGGGCTTTCACCTCTTCTCCCCCCCCCCAGGCAAGCTTGTACAAACAAGCTCCAGCTTGTCTGGATAAAGGATGCACAGAAGCCATAGGCTGCCTGCCCATGCAGCCAGCACTGATGCAAAGGCAGACACAGATCAGTCCTTCCCACTTCTCCCAGTGTCCTTATTGCTGGAAACCATCCCATAGCACAGCCAGCAGGACTTTGTCCTCTGTTTCATCCTGCCATGGGCTCTTCTCTTGGAACAAGGAGTAAGACACACTCCATCTGCTTCCCCTGCTCACTACAAGCCACAAGGCAAGGAGCTCTCCACAGTAAATATATATCATAGAATCACAGAATGGGTCGGAAGGGACCATAAAGATCATCCATATCCAATCCCCTGACATGTGCAGGGAGGGTTGGAATATATATTTCAGGTAATACAATATCCAGGTATGTTGTAGTTTATTCCATTACATGATTTCCTCTCCTCGCATTTGCTCCATTCACCTCTCAGTTATCCCTGATCCACTTTAACAGTGTTTATCATCATCTTTACCAATTATTTTACCCTTTTGCAGTGTTTTTTCACCCATTAGTTTGCATGGGCACAGAGGGTTCCTCTTCACATCTGACCTGCCCTAACCATGCCATGCTCAGGCTCTTTGGTTGCGAACTAAGTGGTAGGAACACAAGGCAAAGGTTCAAATACTACCTGGAGATATGAATTAGTTTGAACTGATCAAGTTCTCCTTCAAATGGGTGAAACCACTTATTCTGCCTGCCTAGCATCAGCTTTTGCACCAGCACCAGTCCTTGCACAAAACAACCATAAAGTGTGAGTGAGGTTTTTAGCTCCCTTGACTCCTTGCCCAAGGAACACTTTCCACCTCTAGGCATGATCACGGCAGGCTCGATGATGATGATTTTGCCCCAGTTGTTTTGGCTCACGGAGCTGTCCTGGGTTCAGCAGTAGCAGTCGTTTTTCTCCTTCTTGGTAGCTGGTGCAGTGCAGTGTTTTGACTTTCGGCCTGGGAACAGAGCTGATAGCGTTGTTTTGGTTTGGCCAAGGACTTTGTGAGCCTCATGCTCTGCCAGGGAGGAGGGGAAGCCAGGAGGAAGCAGAGACAGGACACCTGACCCAAACTGACCAAAGAGGTATTCCATACCACAGCACGTCATGGCCAGGATGTAACTGCGAGTTAGCTGGAAGGGCTGGGAGACTGCAGGGCTGGAGGAGGTTGGTGCTTGGTCAGGCTGGGGGGGAGCGAGTTACTGGTCGGCTGGTGCTGAGGTGTTGTATTCTCTTCCCTTGTTATTTCCTTTATCATTGTTATTATTGGTGGTAGCAGCAGTGATTTGTGTTATACCTGAGTTACTAAACTGTTCTTATCTCAACCTGTGGGAGTTGCATTCTTTTCGATTCTCCTCTCTGTCCCTCCGGGAGTAGGGGAAGGGCAAGAAGGTGGGGGAGCGAGTGAGCAAGCTGCCTGACTGGTTTTAAACCACAACAGGAGCCAAAAGTGGAGTGGGATACTTCAAAAGCACAAGCCTTTGCCAGTCAACCACAAGGTCTGCCAAT